AATCAATCAATCAATCAATCAATCAATCAATCAATCAATCAATCAATGTATACATGTTAATCAATCAATCAATCAATCAATCAATCAATCAATCAATCAATCAATCAATCAATCAATCAACCAATCAATATCAATCAATCAAGAAATCAACAAATTCATCAATCAATCATTTTTTATTTTTTTTTCACCCGGGACCAAAAAAAAAAAAGTTTTTTTTTTTTCTGTTTTTTTGAATGGGGGGTTACCCCCTGACACCCGACCCCCCCCCAGCCCATCCACCCCCTCAGCACCCCTCCGGAAGGCCGTGTAGGGACGGCCCGAAATCTGTACGTACAAGTCGTACGTACAAGTCGTACGTACGGACGCCCGGACGTACGGACGGACCATATTCGTACGGCGGTATACACTAACGCCAATGCGGCGAACTCGACTCACTGTTGCACCGTTCTTCCGTGCGCCAACGCTCAACTTCGCACGGATGCACCGTTCTACCGTGGCGACGCGTGAAAGGCCTACCACTTCGAATCCAAATTCATGCCGCCACTGCTGCAAGGGCATCACAAAAAGATGTGTGCCCCTCGTGAGGGCCTTTTAAGGACGGGCTGACGAAACGTCAACATCGTTCCGGTGAGGGCACGTCGGAAAGTTACGCCCCATGCTGACAGGGTCATGTAGAAAATTTCAGAGGCCCAAGGGGCACCACAAGGTAAGTCGGCCTTCACAGGGGCATGCCGCAAATAAACGCAAACTTCGGGGGCATTTCAAAATTTTTCCCAAATTGAAAATGTGACGAAATGGCGCGGCATTGACTTCACCATGATTTTTGTTTTTTTTCATTTTTCTGATATTTTTCCTAGAAAGATCATGGCCTGATCTATAAGATATCAAATTCTCAGATTTTTTTGCCAATTTGTCTGAGTGTGAAAAATCGTCAAAGTTCGTGCTTGAAAATGTTCGGCCCGGACCCACCTGCGCCTGACGGTCACCGCCCCCCCTAAGAACCCAGTCCGTAAGGCCAGGAAAGTCCATTTCAGGCCGGCGGGGGTCACATTGTGCGACGTTAGGGTTCGGACACACAGGCACATCCTGACGTGCCAGCAGCCTGATGATGGATACACTTTAAAAGACAGCAGTCCCCAAAAGCAGATAGGGACCCCGTCCACCTAAGCGGTTATCTCATCGGGCAATTGGGTATTTGAAAATCTGTGCGTGGGTTCGAACCCCAACCCGACC